AACTTACGACTAAGACTAAAAACTTTCGTGGTTAGCATATTTCTGCCAAAACCAATTATTCTGTTTAAGATTGATAGCATGAATACATTTTTTTCTAAAATCCTTATAAAATTTCATGTACTTTGGAAAATTATAAGCAAATTACATGTAGGTCCTAGTCATAAGTTCATTTGTAAAAGGGTCCCTGCTGCCCTATCTCAATGTTATACAATAATTTGGTAAAATAAATAACTTGCACGCAGAGAGTAACCTCAAAAGGAAAGTGAAAGGGGGGTCTCTGCGTACACCCCCCCTTCAAGTTGTCTTTATATTGCATGCTCTTAAACTATTTAAAATCAATATTCATTTAACATTGAGTATGCTAAACATAGGCGTCGGAACCGGGGGGGGGCCAGGGCTAGTCCTCCCCACTTTTTTTCCAAATATATACTAAGTATAGACATTTAGCATATCTTCGTTGGTTTAGCCCCCCCCCCCCCACAGATACGTCTTAGTATAGGTTAAAAATGGGGAAAATGGACTGTACTGGAGTTCGAAGCTACCCCCCCCCCCCCCCCCCACGAAATAGGAATTTCGTGTTTGGGAAATAAAAATTTTTTGTACACTTAGCCCCCCCCCCCCACTTTCAATTTGCTTCCGACGCCAATGCTAAAAATAAATCATAACCAATTGAAGGTTGATCAATAAAAGCAATTTGAAGACGATATGACGAAGAATTATTTTTTGAAAATTTGGAAGATCGATATAGTCGGTGACAGATGTTACCTTAATGTTTGTCTGTCGTCTATGTCATAAATTTAAGTAGAAAAAATCCTTTATTTATTTTAATTTCAACACCAATAGATGAAAATATCGATTGAAATTAAATTAATATTCACTTCTGCATGACGTAAAATAAAAAAAAGCACCTTTACTCCACCATCTCTTTTTTTTAAGTATAAAAATTTTGAACAATGTCTCGATTGCATGATTTAGATTATTTTGCTTTATAATGATTGAATAGAATAAAACGTTATTTTATAAAGAAAATGATACTAAATTCTAGATCGTTGTAACATGAAAATCAGGGTTTGTTAGGCATATACTACAGTACATGTATAGTATAAAATCGCGATGTACCATTAGAGCTGTTAAGTATAGGCCTATGGAAGGGAATTACCGCCAAAAGTCTATGTATCTTGCTTTTATTCTTATTCTGCCTACTTCTTTATGCTTTGTTATTATTGTAATTATATGTCACTTTATTGTTTTCGTATTCGTCTTTATTACATTACACTTGAGCTTTTATCGTTCTTTATTTTGTCCTTACTTCTATGTTGCTTTATTCTTGTGAATACATTCTACTTTCTTTTAAGTTGATACTGTTTCTTAAATAAACTATCTTGATTATCTCGATTACGAACGTAAATTCAATCATGTAAAAAAAATGCCACCTAGCGTTAATGCGGCACTAAATTGAATGAGGACGAATGCAAGTTGTCCGAATTTAGTGCCGCATTATAACGCTAGGTGGCAGGGTGTTCCGCTATACGAGTGTTGGTAAAAATAGGTAGTAAAACCCGGGCCGGGGTTATTAAAGATTTTTCAATTTTCTGCCTTAATACTTTATCCAATTGAACTTAAATTTTCAAATTATGTTTGTTATAAATTCAGGTATGTACCAGATAATGCCATTTCCTCGGAAGACGGTAAGTTTTTCCCGGAAGACTGACTACATTATGATGCTTCCTTCGGAAGACTATACAGTGAGACTCCCCCCGGGGAAGTGTCAATATGTAGCTAGCCTTCCGTGGGAAATCTGGCTGTATATAGCAATTTGTCCCCCTTCATAGCAACCCCTCCCCCGAGATTTTTTTTAATCGTAAAACAATGTTTATATGCTAACGTTTTCAGTTTTTGAAGAAAAGTTATCCGTCTCATATGAATAAATGTTTAAATGAAACCATTTTAATAGTGGTTAATAATTAAATTATTTTAACCATTTATTTTGACATAGATAATCTTCACGAGTACAAATGGGTAATGAATCCCCCCCCGGTCCCGTGGATGCCCCTCCCCCCGGGTGCAATCGCCCGCGTAGCACTGTCGTTACAGCGTCTGCCCCCCGGTTCCGACGCCTATGCAATGTAGTCAATTAACATATTTATAAACATGTACTTAGTGGCATATGTACATATGAGTAATATTTGGTACTGAAAACAAGTTGACGACCCCCCCCACCCCCCTTCACCACCACCAAATACAGAATTTTCAAGTTTTAAGATTTTTTGAAACTCTACTGGCTGATGTAAAATACGTTGCGTTCTAAAGATATTTTTTTCTTTATTAAAAAGTGCTATTTCAATGTAAAATATTAATGCATAAAAAAGACTGGGGAGTTTCTAGTATGCCTAAGGTGTTCCCTGGTTCCGACTTTGCCTACCCATAACACTTCTCACTCCTTTGCAAAGACCCGTCCCTAGAATCACACGCATGAGCAATTACTATCTGTCGTGAAATAAAGTTCAGTTTAGGGAGGTGGCGCACCCGCCCCCCCCCCCTAAAATTGTCAAAGTAAACATAAATCACAATCTCGTCTAGAAAATGTAAATATGCCTACTTGGTAGATCTAATTTTTACTCTACAAAATCTCTAGAACCCAGGGGCTTCCGGGGGTCTTGCCTCCTGAGCCCCCACCAGGGCTTTGCCCTTGGCCCCCTGGGGGCCTCAAGGCGGCCCCCAGACACCTTGCTTACTTTTGGCGCCCCATCTAACTTCATTTCCTAGATCCACGCCTGGGAACGCCGTGAAAAACAACTCAATTTATAAATTCATAAAGGGGTATCTAGTATCAAAATATTTAACATTATTATGTCAATTAAACTGTTATACTGGAATTCAATTATCCAACAAATAACTTTAGTAGAGTGATATTTTTCAGGCGAGAGAACAGTGACGTAGCATCGATTTTGAAAATTCAAGCTATCCGCTGAAAACAACTTGACAAGCAAAAAAAAAAAAAAAAAAAAAAAAAAAAAAAACAAAAAAAAAAAAAACCCCAGGAAATTTCTAAACTTTAATATAAAAAGGCGGCGATAGGAACCGGGGAGAGGGCTTAGCCCCCACTTTTTTCAAAAGTTAAACTTAGTATAGACATTGAACATTACTGCGTAGCTCTTTAGCCCCCCCCCCCTTTCCATGGACACGATGCAGTAGGCCTATAGGTTTAAAATGTGGAAAGTGGTGGTGTTTTGAACAAAAAATTGGCACTGTAATTTGACACCCATCACCACCACACACACACGAAATAGGATTTTGTGTTTGGACAAAGAACATTTCTCTCTCTCTCTCTCTTTTTATTTTGCTTGTCATGTTTTTTTTTTTTTTGAAGGTCTAAAAAATATTTCTTACGCTTAGCCCCCCCCCGGCCCCAATTTTCACTTTGCTTCCGACGCCAATGAAATCATATTAAGGGGGCGGTGTGAGTTTTGGGTTAAATTCAAATTCATATATAGTATCAAATTTAAATGTACTATACTACATTAACCTTATTTGACCCAAGTGGGTCGGACTTTTAATGAACATTACCGGTATGTAAAGTTATGTCTGAAAAAAAGAGGCCGCTATTCCTGTGTGCCCAGAGAAAATAAATATTATATATATATATATGTTTATTCACCAATCAAGGGCCCACAGGGGGCATGAACAATTATTACAAAATGATAACAGATTACAATTCTATATTAAGGATAATTATGACTTGTGATTAAGTTTGACATTGAGAAGTGCATCCATCATTGTATAAAACAAAAAACAATTAAATAAAAATTATATATATAAGGTAAATTAAAAAAAAAAAAAAAAAAAAAAAAAAAAAAAATCTTGTAGTAATGATCTAATATGGATTGTTCGGCCTTCAGATATTCGATTGAATAAGTATTAAGGCAGAAAATTGAAAAATCTTAAATAACCCCGGCCCGGGTTTGCTGACCTAGTTTTACCAACACTCGTAGCGAACACCCCTGCCACCTAGCGTTATAATGCGGCACTAAATTTTGACAACTTGTATTCGTCTTCATTGAATATGCTTCATTCTTTGTGTGATTGAATTCACGTATGTAATTGAGATAATCATTTAAGAAACTGTATCGATTTAAAAGGAAGTAAAATGAATAAAGCAACATAGAAGTAAGGGCAAAATGAAGAAGGATAAAAGTCAAAGTGAAATGTAATAAAGACGAATACGAAAACAATAAAGTGACATATAATTACAATAATAACAAAGCATAAAGAAGTAGGCAGAATAAGAATAAAAGCAAGATACATAGAATTTTGGCGGTAATTCCCTTCCATATAGGCCACTGTCATTACATGCTCCTGGGCATGTCACAGTCTATTCGTTACTATAACATAAAAGATGTTATCAAAAGCTGTTACCAAAACAAAAACTGTTACTAATTGATTTTACTAAACATAGAATATGTTCAAATTATTGTCACCTCCCACCCTCTTGCCCCCACAAAACTGTTGTTAAAGGCAAAATAAGAACATTTATTTTTCATTTTTTTTAATCTTGGTTGAAACAGTAATTGTCCAGTTTTGACCCAGAGCCTTTTCGCCAGCCAATTTTTATCCGCTTCTCTCCTCAAAACTCTTAGGTTTTTTTTTAAGGAGAATAGAAGTTCAGAAATCCTTGTCTAGCAAGGATGACCTCGGATTACTCTAAATTTTAATTTGGCTTACTGTAATATCTATTACAAAATAGTAGTTATTACAGTAATTCTTGTTTTCAAACCATTCGACAAATTGATTATACAATATCCATTACTACCTCCTCCCCCTAAATCTAATTAACGGATTTTTAGATATCCTTCGTAAAATTGCGATGTTACTCTATTTCCTTCTAAATGCATTTGATAAAGACCAAAAATCCCAGTAGATGCGGTGAATGTTTAGAAGCTCAGTGTGTGCCAAAAATTCAAAATCAAATAAATTCAACGACATGTATTGCGTAAATAACAATATTCTCCAAAAGTAAGAAAGCTTTATTTAATGAAGGAAAAGAAAGGTCTGCTTTTCAAGAGCATTCTTTACAAATATTTTTTTTTTATTTTCTGTACAGCACAATGTCACCCAGAAGAAGTCCACATTACGTTTGGCGACAAAGTGTCAGATGTCGTCATCATGTGGTCAACAGTCGGTAATTGTTCCAGTTCGGTAGAGTATGGCCCCGGACCCTGGGGATTAGCACACAGGGCCCAAGGGGAGACCAAGCTGTTTACAGAAACCAACCCCAACGGAAAGCATTACCTCCACAGGGTTGAGGTTAAGGTAGGTCAAATACGCGTTTAAAATGGACCTTATTGACATTAAGGTGGCGATATCAGTTTTTATTGACCTTACAATTTTGCCCTCCACCGTCTAGTACTGACGCCTCAATATGGGTGAAAGATTCTCGAAAGGGACATTAATCAACAACAAAAACTTTATCTTATTTATTTATGGCTAGTATGAATTGTTTATTTATATCTGAGGTTTTTACAATGATAAATATTCTATAAATGTAGATGAAAGAATTCGAGATGAATAAAATTCTGTTGTTCTTAAACAGGACCTTGGTAGTTCCACGACATATTTCTACAGACCTACCAGCAATGGAGTTAGCAGCGGACCATTCTACTTTAAGACACCGCCTTCTGGATATGTAAGTTGATGGTGCTTGAAAAATTATTTTTAAAGCATTTTTAACAGCTAGTATTTGAAATGGAAGAATGTAAGAATGAATAAGCGTCAATATTTTCACATTTTTCATTTTCCAAAAAGGGCTCCTCAATGCCTGAATCTGATACCAAAGAAAATTTCCTAGAGTTTGAAACTAAAAACTAAAATTAACGACTAATCAGGTCTTTTTTGGGTCCAGGATTGGAGCCCGGAGTTTTTGGTATATGGTGATTTGGGCGTGGAGTCTGATGCGATTTCTGCTCTGGAAACGGAGGCTTTGTCGGGGAAATATACGTCAATTTTTCACGTTGGTGACTTTGCATACAATATGGAGGACGAAGGAGGAATGGTAAGCTCTTTCTATCGCACTTTTTCCCCCCTTTACCATTTTTTCATAATTATCATAATTCATGGCTACTCAGCATTTTAAATGAACTAAACTGAAAGGTATGTTTGCAGTTTTTCTTCATACTTAATCTAAGTTACTGCTGCTCCTTTTGGTCAGGGATTTTAATGAAATTGATGCTGCGCAATCCTGCATTTTTTATCAATAAAAACTTTAAAATTATTCAAGTAATGTATGTAAAATTTCATTTTGAAACTCTTCAAATTAAGCTTCTCTTTTATATAAACTTTTCTGATATTTTTACTTGAAGTATACCTGAACAGTTTGTAAAATAAAAAAAAAAACTTCAACCTTGTCAAGACAAATTTCCATGCATATCCATTTATCCATCCCCCGTTTTCCATTTTAATTTAGCAAGTAAATGACACGCACAAAAATGACACATCCATGGACTTGTGCGAAAATAAGGTGAGACCAGACTCAATCATGTACTAACTGATGCATGTTGTTAAGGCGTAGAATTTTGGTTGCATGAGGAACGGAACTGGGATGCAAATATATGTGTATTGATTTACATGTTTATGAACTTCATCTATCATCATTATTCATGCCCGCAAATTGTCTTTGTTGTGAAATTCTTTTATAGAGAGTTTATACTGTGCATGTGTTTGGTGTTGAATTTGACAAACAGCAAACCGAAAAATTGTAATTTTGCACCTAAATCACTTGAATAATATTGTATTTTATGAGGGATGCGACAGACAGTTGCTTTCTAAATATTTTATTGAAACGTAGCACTTTCATTTCCCGATTCAATTAAAATAAATAACCAGTTTTAATCCAGTAAAACTTTCTCAAACATTAATAGCAAAAATGTGTATGCAATACAAAACACAGCATTTTATTTCCAGAGAGGAGACACGTTTTTACGTTTAATAGAAGATTTTTCTTCTAGAGTGCAATATCTGACATCTCCGGGAAACCATGGTAAGCTGTATATACATATAATAGTTCACTTCCTACCCGTGCAAACTTAGTATTATTTCAAAATAAACGCACAAATCACTACTCAATATATATTTTCGCTACATTTTATTTTCGCGTAAAAGCATTTTTATTTATTTTTACGAATTTTTATGATTATTTATTACAACCCTGAAGAATATTTTACACGAGAATGGAAAAAAAAATCACGTGCAGACAGTTTCTAGTGTTACGCGAATATACCCTATAAAAAGTTTTTTACGGTATATATATATACATTCACATGTACATTGTACTTTAAAACAGAAATAGACCAAGGCAGTTTCGCCCATTACCGGTATCGGTTTTCTACGCCCGGTACATCCTGGCCCATCCCCCTGAACAAAATGTGGTACAGCATAGACATAGGACAAGTGCACTTTGTCAGGTATGTCGAAATATAGTCCATATATCAGAAGGTCCAGAGACAAGTGTTTGAATTTTATTTCTAATGGTTTTTTTCCCATATTTTAGTTATTCTTTTAATCGATTCAAATTAAATTATGAATGACATTGTGAATGGTATTCACATGGTATTCGTTGTGATGTCTCGGTTGACGTCTCTACGCTCCTTACGTAAATTTCTCGATTACGCGACACAAAGTCAAAGTATTTCACCGCGAACTTTAATCATGCATGGCCAAATATTTCGGATTATACAACATTTTAAACGATGCAATTTACTGGAAAGGACTAACATTTTTTTACACTGTATATATATTAGACAAGATTTCGGAATACACAACAACAGGATTAGACAAGTTTCTCTGTATATATAATATTGGTTTCTCTCCAACAGCTATTCCTCGGAAGTGTTTTTCACGTCCGATGGACAATACATTGCTGAACAAGAAAAATGGCTGAAGGCAGATTTGAAGCAAGCAAACGACAACAGAGCTCGTTGTCCGTGGGTCATCGTTCTGGGTCACCGCCCAATGTACTGCTCCAATAGTGATGGAGATGACTGCACAAAGGCAGATTCTAAAGTTCGCGCCGGGTAAGCGTCTTCAATATGATTCGTCTTATATTGATCACGTGTTGATCGAATTCCTACTGCTCATCGTGAAAATAGCCAAAGAAGTTTGACTTTAATATGAAATTTTGTGGTTTAACGTCCCTCTCGAAAATTTTTCACTCATGGAGACGCAAATTTCTTATTTAAAAAAGTCTTGCAAACAGTATCAAGTAGTTTTTTTTTCATTTTCCATAAATTCTTGGACAAATCTTTGCTACGTAGCCTGCAGACATGATAACAATCACTGATTTGTAAATTTAATTACAATTTGCCGATTTTAATCAAAGATGGGGTAAAAATTTGATGTGATGGCATTGACTTTAATTCCAGATTAGAGGACATTTTCTTCAACTATGGAGTGGACATAGTTCTACAAGCACACGAGCATTCTTATGAGAGATTGTGGCCGCAATATAAAGGAGTGGTACTCAGCAAGAACTATACGAATCCCCAGGCACCAGTTCAGCTCATCTCGGGGGCAGCAGGGAGCAAGTATAAAGGAGACAACGAAAAAGCCAGGAGAGGTAATCAACTCATTCTGATTAAAATCAGATCCTCGATGCTCCTTTTTCAACGATACTAGTATGTTGCTTACCAGGTTCCGAGGTTAGCGACATATCTTAAAAAAGGAGCATCGCGGATCATTTTAATCAGATTGGTAATCAACTTTGAAATCAATCAGTTCTAACCAAATTCATTGCAAATTGTAGAACTTGTGATTGCGTTCAATATGGTTGTATTATTTGCCTACATAAGTTTTAATAAAATAGTTAGCTTTAGCCAGACTGCATGTTAATTTTCGATCGTCCGCGTATCTGTCAAATAACCTCCTTCACGGAGGATCGATGCCATTGTTAAAGGGAATATTACTTAATAATCCGAGTACTAAATCATAAATGTATCCAATAATCTTAAGTCTCCTTCATATTTGTTTTGTTTTCTAGAAGAATGGTCTGCCTTTACAAATACAGATGAATCATTAAACAGCGTGGGTAAATTGAAAATTATGAATTCGACGCACTTGTATTGGGAGCAATATAATTTGTTAACAAAACGTGTAATTGATTCGGTGA